ATCTTTAAGTCATTACTTTTACGTTTACGTAGTTGTCCTACATTGTCCATTTCCTAATTATCTCCCTTTTGACCCAATCTCTGGTGTACTGAACTTTTCGATTTTAAAGGAGGATTACATATAACTAAACGTAAAAGGGGTTACGCTAATAGTGTGTTATGCATTTTTTCCGACCCTGGATCGAAATGTTATTGTTGTGAAAATAAGCGCATTTATAGCGAAAGTGTGTTAAGCGCATTCGGGTGAAAAAGTAGCAATTCGAATTAACTTAATTATGGTATAAACATTCTCAAGAAAATTAATTATTCATAACGAGTTACATCATTATTATTCCATTTGGTAGAGTAACTGGTTCAAATTATATTTGTCGTTAGGTAAACTTATCTTACAACGGCACAAACTATTTCATAAAATTTCCATTGAGTCAAATTTAGGAGAGATACAAAAGCAAAGCAATAAACGATATGTTTTTGTCGTTCTTTTTCTTTCTCAAATGTTGCTAAACATTGCAATAACATTTTTGACGAACGTTTGAAAATGTTCTAACGAGAAAATAGCTTATTTCATACCAAAACTTTTCCTGCTCAAACATCTAAAATGTAATGTGTATTTAAGTTACATTTTAGATGTTTGAGCAATATTGATATGAAACGTATCTTTTAGTTACATTACATAACAAAATTTCTAATTCCCAAATAATCTAATGCGGTAATATGAACAGACATCAAGTACACAATTGATTGCCTGATTATTTCTCTCATATGTCTTTAACAAATCATTTGTAGAATCAAAACTCCTCCCCACTTTTTTAGGACTTAGAGTATAGGTGAGTGTTTCACTGTTTATTCTTTCTGCTGGTATAAGTAAAATCGATTCCAACTTCAAACTTTATTAACAGTTCTTCAACGCCCCTGTATTATAACCAACACTCCGTTAGGAGTATGACAAGTGAAACACCATCATAATATAATAGAACAACACTGATGTAATGACCTTGGAGTAACTCACTTCACAAAACATGTTATTTTTCATTCTTTAACCTTTGGGATTACTGATAAACTATACAAAGGTCACGTATTATAGAATTAGAATTGAACTTCAAGTGACATCATCAAATCCTGTTAATCTAAGTAAATACGATGTTGTGCTTTATGATGTTATCGTCTTGTTTACCTGATGTTTTAATTCAAGCCTAATCTTCCTACCTGGCATGGTACAGGTGCATTAGCAGTAAGAAAAGGAATATAAATCGTGCAATATGGGTTTGAAACTAGTCCCTGAAAAATATCTTCACAAGTGCCTTTAAATACACGGTTTGAGAATAGTGTAGCTATGTACGTTTGATTAACAGTTTTGAGAAATCGAAAATCAATGATTATCTACGCAGGGTTCACAAACTAACATCTTCCGGTATTCCGGTACATATGTAAATGTTTTAATAAGTTTATTGTCACAGAATGCTCTTGATGATGTAAACATTCTTACCTTTAATTCACATCTAAGATTAAGTCTCTAATTGTGATTTTAGATCAATCAAAGTCACAGAGATAGCGAGCTTATCATTGAGTTTTAGTACAAATAAACCTGTATACGATTAGCTGATTTCGAGGAGCCGGAGGACACAGACTTTGAATTCAAAGTAGTCATTTAAAGATCTCTTTTGTATAACCGGATCATTTTTATATGAGATAACTTGGAATTTGCATTACCAGTTTGTTTGTTTGTTGTTATTAGTCAATGATGTAAGTCCTTCTCTGGCAGACAAAAAGTTATGAAAGGAATGATCATAGGTACATTGTGTACTGTATAGTTGACAATGCTTTTATCAGACAGTCATTGGATGGCCCTATTTTCAGACAAAGACATCAGGTTGATGTTTTTTCATAGGAAATTGGTATCTTCTGAATCTGAGAAATATGGCCAACGCATGTAAATAGATATACTGCTGACTGAAATACATTGATATATAATTTTTTTTCTTCTCCAGTGTTGTCTTTTTAAAGGACCTTTAAAACGACTCAGTAAGGGGTTGTTCTGTCTCCTAGTAAATATGCACAGTTTCTGGTCATTGTAAGTTGATGTCAGGCACATATAGATACTGCACGATATGTATTTTGATTCTGACAGTTAAATACATAAGGTCGTCTAAAAAGGTAAATATTTCAAATCATTAACTTCACCTGTTTGACATGTAGATCTGATTTAATACATATCTTATCCCGTTTGATCAAACTTTACATAAATTGACCTTCTGTCAAGATCCCTAAAGATAAGTATAATTACGCCGCCTGTTGTTTCCGGGGTTCCATGTGAAAATGTTTTAAGGGTGGGGTTTAACTGTAATTAAATTCCTCATGACACACACAAACAAATAATCCCAGGCCCTGCTTTACGTCTCAACAGTAATAAGACACTAGTGTTTTGATCAGGTATTAGGTTTTGCCATACTCAATATTATGCATGTTATTCAATACGGATTTTGTGCTATCTATAGATAAACGTTGCGTGTTCCCCAAAGCATAGTCAGCTTGTAGACTTTCTGCAAAAACACGATAGAAAGTTCCATGACCATTAACATGACTGAGAATAATATTCATAGACAATGATATAGTTATGTATTTATTTAATACAATAATAAATATTAGAAGCGTTAGATTTGTGTCACCTTGTCCGTTTTACATAGGCACATTGTCGTATTTCATCAATGTATATACAATAATTGTTTATATATGTGTTTGTTAAACCAAACCTCTCCCGATCGGTCCTACTTATCATGTGGGTTTTATATCTATACTTAGTATCTATCGTGTAATCTGATATATCTTCAGTGGTGAGACAGAGGAAATATTGCCACGTCATAGGTAGAGGGATTTCTCTGACTTACAGCTGTCAAATAAATTATTCATAAGCTTTTAAACTCTTCAATATCTAATATCTATTCTTTACAAAGATGGAAGAAATATAGGTTTATATTTGCACCAGACTGTGAACCCACTGGGTTCGAAATCAAAGCGTAGACAAAAACAGGAAACGTAGACAAAATGAAAGGAATTGTAAACCCACACATCAATGAAACCTCAATGCGTTCCTCCGGAAGGAAAATGTTTCCTGCACAAAATGCGATTTGGCAAAGCAAGGATATCACGCGCGATCTGGTATATCACAAATAAATCGATAATCATGATAAAGTTGAAATCATGCAATGATATTGGACAGGTCATGGTGTGGTTTTATTTCAGTATCAAACTCTATCCTGCCAACAATGACGTTTTAACATTAAACTGCATGATAAACGTTATGATGCTGAAGCAGGAACAAAAGAACAATAAATTACCACAATATGATTTATTTTACAAAAATATATATATTAAACATACAGCAATGTTTATAAAAATCTTATAATATCATGAAATCACATTGATCAATAAACAATGAGTAAAATAATGTTTGCAATCTCCATTTTGACTAGTAGGTTAATTTGATACATAATTTTGCTGTCGGATCACATAAACGCTAGTGCATCCTCTAGACCATGCCTATCAATATGTAGTTATCTCTGAATCCATTTTAATATTGTCAATATTTGTCCAAATATTTACAGTAAAGGCATAAGGGCCATCATCTTAAAAAAATCGAAAGAATTTCATTGTCATAAAGGGTTAATGCCACAACAATCCGTGATATAAATATTTGGATGCTAACTACATATATTTTAATTGACTACAGCAATACGCTATTTCAATAAAGAAGAGCATCAAAGTTGACGGGCATATATATTGTTTTCAGTAATTACTGCACCCAACATCATCACTTTTGTTATAAATCTTAGCCCGAAGTTTATAATAATACAACTAAATGTTGTACAGTATGAATTGGTGACTATAGAACATGAAGTATTGAAAGTGTTGACTGGGAAGTCTGATTTGTCCTTCAAGAAATTATAAATGATAATGTTTATTTTTCTCGTGTTATCTGTGAACCGCTTCCTTATCATTACGTTTTCATTAAGTAAAAACAAAAACAATCGCTCTTATATGACACACAGAAAGCGAACTCAACGTATACGATACGCGACAAAATACAAACAAAAACATTCTACGAAAGATACGAAACGAAACGAAGGACATATCAGCAGCAGCAACTACAATGCAAGTGAATGCTTCTTACATTTTTTTTCTTTTTTAAACACGAAAACTAAACATGTTTTCTTTCAAACACGAAAACTTCAAAAAGAAAATGAAAACATTTAAGCATTCATCTCATGACGACGAACCGATAACAAACAAATCTTCTCACATAGACTTGTGGGAGAAAATACGATGTGGTGGTTCACTTGTACTACAGGTTTATAAAACCAGTTTCAGCATAGCATTAATAATTACAACTGGAAATCTAACTGGTATTTTTTGGGCGAAATAATGTAAGAAAAAAATCACCATTAATTGACCCAAAATGTATGTAGCAAATGATCTGGGTCGTAAAAATGTTGATTTCAGAACTCAAAGTAGCATCGACCAAATACAAAGATCTTTAATTAGTCTGAATATTTGAGAGAATTTTACCTATTAACAGCATTGCCGAAACAGTATTTTATCATTAAATCCTTATGAAGAAAACAATTGAATGAAAACATCAACGTACGTTTATATAATGCGTAGTTTGATGTGATCAACAGAATACAAACCTTCACGGCGATTACAAAAAAATATGCAAAGAAACAAGTTAAAGTGATGTTTTGCATGGCTATAACATAAGTAGATGTTTCTATAACACAAGATCTTTCGACGTATTTAATACAGCAAGGATAAAGATGACCAGATATTCTTTGGCTCCGGTGTATTGGCACAGGACACAGTGACACGAAGCACAGAAATAAACCACTTCGCCAACCTACATGTACATTGTTTGTTAGTATTTACATGGAGTAGGCGTCAGTATTTCCTAATCCTCCTCTGTATTACAACATATCTATTAAGCAACAGCACAAGCGCCTATTTTAACTATCCATCAGCACCAATGACCATTACTGTAGAAGGCGACTGATGGGAAGATACTAAAGGTTTTTCATACAGAGATGTTTTTGTCCTGTTTCTCTCAGACAGCGCTTTTTCTGAATCCTCTTGATTCCCTTCCACTGACACGCCCCGTGAAATGGATGGTAGAGGATTCCGCGACACACTCCTACTTAAGTTTGCCGCTGCTTTCTTACGTTTGCTGGCTGGCTCATCACGCTTGATATTGAGAGGTACACCTCTAATATTATTTAGTCTGTCAACATCTACCACTTTCAGCACTGCAGGTCCAAGCGTGTTTACTATACGTCCATTTTCCATCTCAACCTTATGAACCATTTCCTTTTTTGATACATTAAATGGGTTAGGTTTTTTAAGTAGCTCTTTAATGGCAAGAGAGTAACGGAACCCGAAGCATACCTCTCTCTTTTTCTTCTCTGGTTCTTCGATGCTATCTTCTTCCTGCTCCTCTTCCTTTTCATCGTCTTCCATGTATGTTTCGATTATAGTTTCTGCTATTTCTTCTTTCTTCTCCTTTTTCTCGTGTTTTCGTTGACGTTTTAAATATTTGTTTTTTTTCCCCTTCGTTTCCACTTGAGGTTTCTTGACAACTTTTCTCAATTTCTTCTTTTTTTGGATAGGCGTATCCTCACTTTGTTCATCTTGCACGCCAAACATACTATTTATATATTTTCTTTCCTCGTGAATTTCGGGAAAACACGCAATTTTTATTGAACTCACAGAATGTACATCCATGTCTGTTTCATTATTGTGATCATGTTTGTCCTGTTGATCGTACTCCATCTCTGATCCATTAAAACTTTCGTATGCACTGTCTGTAGATTTCGTGTCTCTTGTCCGCCTAATATCGGACGGGTCTGGAGGAGATATCGTACTAATTTTTCGAGTCCGTAATGATCCCTCCGATGCAAATGAATGCTGGCTAGTTGCAGTTCCGCTGATGGAATGACGTAAGTAATGCATATTAGGGGTAAGTAGATGTCGCTCTATTTCACTGCCATGGAATGTCATTTTGCGATTGCGATTTCGTGAATGGGACATTGGTGAGAGTTTTCGTGGAGAATGAAGTGGAGAATGCAGATGAAAGTTTCCAGATATGACTGAATCTCTAGAACTTCCGAGTAAGTCTGATGCAGGAGATGCGACATCGGGTCGGATCGTATTGGAAAATTTCTTTGGAAGAACTGGTTTCTCACCGGATGCTGGCGTGATTATAACAGGAAGGGATCGTCTCCCTTTGTTAATTTCCCTCATTCGTTCACTATATGCCAGCATGGACTTTTCCAAATATTTGCGGTTGGTGGTAAATGATTGCATATCTTTGCGATGCATGTTTTCTATGGTAGTTAGTATTTCCTTAAAATCGTGGTCTTCTTTCCTCCGACGTCCTATTGCAGGAGGGCTATTTTCACTGTGAAGTCCAGATGCACCAACATAACTAGTATTGTGGTTCCAGGCAATGGGTTTACCACCACCTAGCAGCAATTTCCCTCGCATTCTGAATACAAAGGTATGTCCCAAGGACTCTCTGTGCCGGCTGAAACGTGACGTTTGCCCAAAGGATCTACAAATAAAGAACAGTTACTTAGCTCAAAGTGAAACACATGGACAGTGAACTCCTCACCAGCGTTGGAGTGATGTCCAAGCTGTAAGCTTTAGTGTTACTAATCAATATCTTTAATAACAAGATATGCTTGTTTCCGCGATAAGCACGACCTCCATATTTCTAAGAGATTTTCATTAAGCCATTAAGCGAGAGAATGTAATAAAATGTTGATAAATGGCTGTAACTTATCATAGTTACTATGTAAAAGGATTAATGAGGAGCAATAGTGTCACCATACACGACTTATCCGATAAAGCAAACACTTGACGCGGCAATTAAATCAATGTCATCGATACGTGGCCACGACTACAAGGATTCTTCAATACAACCGCATGGTATATGCTTAGTTTACATAATCCTTCGGACTTTAAAGGAGTTAAAAACGCCTGGGGTAATCTTCAACGAGAAGGAATCTACAGTCCGGCTTAAGGTGGATAGCTTACGTTGGTCGAAAGAAACCGTGTCTGGTTACAAATGGCTTCATCATGATATTGGGATTGTATTTTTTTTTATTTGATTATTCATTTGAACGATAAAACAATGACAATGCTAGTATCGAAACCTCAATCTATAATGATAATTTGTAGGAAATAAAACTTACCTAATTTACAGCTTGCCTTGGATTCATACAAACTACAGACAGTGTCGTGGAGGATTCTGTAAGTAAAATAATATCATTTGTGAATTATTTTGTCTGACAATGGATCTTTTATAAATGAGGTTTAGGTCTGGAGGTCAAAATGCAAATAGTATAGCTTTGAAATTATGTTTTTAAGTAGTAGCGAAGGTCTTTGCAACCAAACAATATGAAGCATGCGACAAAGGTTTAAGTTGGCAGGGTAAGCTGGAGACTAGTACATATATAACGAGAAATAACAACAACAAAACACCTTTCATATATTTAATGTTGCGTTCATTCTATTAACATATTGGCACGTTTCGAATCTTTTGATACAGTTTTACCCATGAACTAACAGAAGTAATTTAAGTTTATATAAATTGAATTAGTTTCTCGTTCCAAATGAGAATCTACCACTTGTTTGGTTATAATGTGGAACCATAGGGTGTAACGCCATTTAAAATCTCATTCCAAATTTAAACATGTCATTTATTAAGATGCCTGCCTGAATGAAACTATTTGTCAGAACAATTCACAAAACACTGACCGGTCTATGACCTCCTTCGTCGACAGTGAGATATAGAAAGAAATAAATATAAAAAGACATTTTCTAATCAACTGAAATATCCTTCAGTGTACCTTGACCCATGACTTTCTACCCAATTGAAATGAATGTCCTCCAGGTACCCTAACCCACGACTCTCTACCCAATTGAAATGATTGTCCTACAGGTACCCTAACCCACGACTCTCTACCCAATTGAAATGAATGTCCTACAGGAACCCCCAATTTTTAAATAGACTTCTTTAAAGATACCCGCAATGTTAGCCTTTTGTATAATGCATGATGCCTGCTAAATATATGATGAATCCACATGGAAAAAAATTAATTTGTATTTTGAATAAATGCAGTGCATTAGATAGTCTTGTAAAAGTATAGCACAAAACTTTGTAAACCAAAATCATTATGACTTGATGCTAACCTATGGACAGTTTCTATATGTCGATGGTCAGTTTATTCTACAATATTACGTTTACCTGTATTCAAATAATTAAAATCACAATAAATATCATCCAACCGAAGAACATCATTGCCGCAAAACAAATTTGATTAAATGTTTTGAAATGTTATGCATTGATATACACTACAACAGAAAGATTAAAACATTAAAGAGTAATAAAACATGTATATCAACAGGTGTAAAACAAGTCTATAATAATGTATATGATAATTGCACATATACTGTTCTATACTTACAAATATACTCAGTATGGTATGACTTCACGGTTAAGGTGTCAGATGTATTATGACTTACAAGATGCTAGGAACTGGTGTTTAAATACACACCTGTAATAGGAGTCGGAAGTTTATGGTGTGTTTTTCTAGTAGCAGGGTAACATTAAAACTATAACCCTACATATCATTGACTACTGTTCCCCAGCTGTCAATCAAAAGCAACTCCCACACCCACAAAAATACGTATAGGGATTTTTACCTTCTCGAGATTTCGTGACGTCAATACACTATTAGTAATAACAACAAAGACAGCGGTGGACTAAGGTTCGGGGCAGGTAGACACACCTCATGGTCTGTTCTCAGTGTAGCATGATATATATCAACAAATATTTAAATATCCCTCGATCATCTACAGCACTCGTATTGTACGATAACAATGTTATAGACGGCGGGTTATACCAATAGTGTTGTAAAAGATTAAAATTTGATTGCTGATTTTTACCACTTGAACCCAATCATACAGTTTCTGTGGCTTTGTTCCAGGTGGGTTCCGTTGTGACATCTGTGTGTGAAGGCATTAAGTGCGGCTAATAGTGTCAAGATTTACTCTAGTCGTATGATAGTTGATGAATATCAAACAGTTGCGACTAAATCAAACTGATTGGCGCCACAACCAAATAATCTCTGTGGAACGAGATCACACTTCATCTGTGGACTGCGGTTAACCGCAATGTAACACCAGTTTTACTGGCGTCAATCACAAATTTACTTTGGAGTTATTCTAACAGAGATTGCATGGGTTTCAATCGTTTCAGATTAGTTTTTAAAATATGACAATCAGAAAGTAAAAAAAATATAGTAATTATGAAAGAGCGGCACGACGAATGTGAGGAAACAGGTTTGACTGATTAGTGAGTGTCCATTCATGTTGAAAGTATCGTTTTCGACCCTCACAGCCGATTGTTGTAAAAGTCCTAGAGAAATAGTGTATCCGGTGGCTTAGTCAATCAGCCAGCATTAACACAATAGAACACTAAAAGCATATTAACTCCGATCAAGTTTTATCATGGCTGAAACCTGAACTACTATAGTTACCTTTAAATACTTTAAAGCTCGTCAAGGTTGTAGGAGGGTTAGTTAGTGGTCAAGGCATCCAGGAGAGGTTTTGACCATGAACGTGTGTCTTTGTGGCGTTTTTAGACTCAGTTGTTTTAATTGTAAATATAATATTTTTTTGTATTATTACAGCTATTTTTTTTATTTTTTTTTATTTCAGTTAGTTATTTAAGGCATAATAGAAGCCATATGTTAGTTTTATCAGTATAAGAAACTCCAACGTCAGCTTTTAGGCCATTCTCGTTCATTGGTATTATTATTGTTGTGAGCATGAGAGAGATGTAAGGCAGAATGAATTAGATATTATTGAAATAGATATATATGTACACGAATATTCAGAGTCTGTCAGTAGTCCAACATAAGTCAGATGATAGACATCATGAGATATATTATATCTAGATAGTAAACTAACCCCATTTACTCTCTAAAGGAAAGTACTAACTTTCTATAGACTACGATAGAAAAAATTCATCCTTAGTTCAAATGGTAAGACATATGACTGGAAAGCCAGGGTTACCGGAACTAATAATAAAATCTGGATTTACCGATTGAAAGCTTGAGTACCTCCCTCTCTCCAGCTCACTCAGTAGAGAATTAGCCTTGTAAACCAGAGGCTACGGGTTCGATTCCTAATAGTGATATGACCTCATACAAAATTATAGGTCAAATTTATACATATTGCATAGGGTGTTTTAGTGTGATGTACTTTCGACAAAACCTCCCGTCCGATACATCTTGATTTGTTATCTCTATAGATCTGTGTTATGATTGTAGAATACAATTAATACACGTCGATAGAAATGCGGCATGGAACAATCGTTAATCTTTTATCCTGAGGGAGTCAGTTAATACCCTGGTCGGCTATATTTGGTATCCTATTCCGGACAGCGTGTCACTGTGACCAGCGAGGAACTTTATATGTTACATCTGAGTACAATACTTGATGACGTTAAGCACGATCTTATACAGTGGGGGTTATTTTCATCGAAGTGGCATTGATGATAAACTAAATAGGGAACAATGCTTCAGAGAAACCCGATTTATACAAATGATATATTTATTCGTGCTCAGAAATAATCATTAATGAATTGTTTTAAAGAGACACAAGTGAATTGTGACAGACTATTTTTGTAGTTTAATTAGATTCCGTAGGTACATTGTATACTATTGTTTAAGCGATTCTGGCACATTGACACATGGTTTTGTGTTTGAACATTATCACAGGAAGCACAGTAGGTGTTAAAGTGTATATCTATGTAAGATGTTAACTTAAGATAACAAATCAATTATGATACGGTCGTGTATATCGTATACTCTGTCGCTACGTCAGCCGAACGTGTGGGGTGGCGTAAGCTGTGAGTCGTCTCCCTTTGTTGTCATTGTAAACCATTTAGTGGAAGAGAAGTTGTAACCTAATAAGATATATATAATGACTTACAAATTAATATGTAACACTTGATAACCTGTCAATTAAAGCAAGTGCTAAGAAATATTTTGTGGTATACGCTACAATAAACATCCTATATTAGTTAGATATTCCTCTGCACTGTATATTAAACCCTAGACCCCACAAGGCTATAAATATATATATATATATTATATATGACGATTTCTTTTAAGAATTTAAGATCTTTTCGATAATAACCACTTCAAATACACTGAACTTTATTAATGAGTTCTAATTTGGAAGTGAACTTAAAGGCTTTGATCTAGATTTACATAACGAGTGTCTTACGGAAGTTCATCTTCCTAAGTTCGTACCCCTTTACCTCTTTATTTATTATTTCTTCTGTCTTTTTTAATATCTTTGTTGTTATCTGTTTGGTCTTACCGTCAATTTCGAGTTCAAATTACTGAACCAATATATTAGCACTAAATGACACTATCGATTTTGTTTCGTTGATGTAAATCTTGCTTCTA